TCATCTCTGTCTTTTGGTAATATATATTTTGATTCATAGATTATTTATAATTGATCCTGAATATGCTAGAGGCATTTCAAGGAGGAGGATCAATGAGGCGATTGAAATCAGAAATCGGGGCAACACCCTCCTCCAGAGACCACTGGGCGAGCAGGGGCGTGGTCAGTCTGAGCGACCTGCAAGCTCCATCAGGCTGACCACGCCTACTCAGGAAGTCACATCTACTGATTAATGACCAAGGCCAAGACAGTTCTGAAGATGTCTCTCAGCTCTGCAGCTGAAACATGTTAACAAGATACTAACAAGATAATCAAACTTTTCTTTTTAAGAATCACAGAAATGCATTCTAACCAGTGCTTGACTTCAGTAAGTAACTGACATTTACTATTATAGACAAGTACATTTGTTGAGGTGTGGTCCCTTCGTCGAGCAAGACTTTAACCTTAACATTCACTCCTTGAAGAAAGCAATGTATTGTTTTCTTTTTTGGATTTTACTCATTACACAAATCATTTGTTTGCATGAAATTGTAGGCCTTTACCAAATGGTAGAGCTGCAGTTTGATGCTAAAAGTGCCTAAAACAAAGTGAGATGCCCCAGAGAGGTAGATTTTAGTACAGAGAAAAAAGTTCAAATTATCAATTCACTTTGTACCAAACAAAGACAAATAGCACAACAGATGGATAATTATAGACGTTTCACTTAATCGAAGGAATAACAGAGAGTGGAGGAGGATGAGTGTCCTGTTTAGAGAATCACATTGTAAAATATTCAAAGTCAGAGAGGACGAATACTTCCTTTATTATTCATTTGACGCTCTTCTGATCCTCTTCAGATAAAGCTCACGCACAGACAGCTGCGACATTACTTTTCCTCTGTGTGTGGGCGAGTGTAGAAAACATGGACATAATGTAGAACTGATGTTTGAGGCAAAACTCATGCAGCTTTACTTCATGCTGAGGGTTAGACACAAAGAGTTTCAAGGGCTCAGGTAAAAAGATCTTGTTATAGAACACTGGTTTTATATCACAATTCAATTCAATTTATTCTTGTATAACCCTAATTCACAACAGTATTCATCTCAGAGGACTTAACAGAATCATTGAAGTCACCAACACAGATCGGAGAATCAACAGCTAAGACACAAAAAATACAGAACATATACATATATTGGTCCATAGGGGGAGACCCAGTGTCCATAAATGTTGATAAATGTCCAAACATAAAAATACACAAAAGTAATATTTCTTACTTTGTTTCCTTTGGACAAGGATATCCTGTTACGGTATAAAATACTTTTCAAAATTAGGCACATGTATTAAAATAGCTAATAATGCTTTGGGATTCATTCATTTGTTATTGTAATTTTTGGTCAAAACAGAACCCATATTCCATGTTTTCAAATGTTTGCTTTTTGTAATGGTAAATGAGCCACAACCACAGCGGTGGGTTCTGAGATTCTTTGGTGTTACATGCTATTTGTGATGTATACAAAATAAATTAGCTTTTCTTACTTTTTCATGAACGCAGTCTGACGCAGGGTTGGGTTAAAATAAGTCATAACATCCTCCCACTCCGTTCCGGTTCAAATGAATGACTCATGTATATGTTGATTTAACTTCACAAGCCTTTTTGTTTAACTTAAGCTGGTGACAGGCTGCTGGAGTTTGAATATATACGTAAGCATGAGATTTGAAGTCATGAAACAGACCACAGACATGAGGATTTTGTCTCAGTTACAGAGACCACACGCTTCACTTGTAATGCCTGGAATAAAGGACAAGGCTTTAAATTCAACAAATACACCCCCTACCTTCTGTCCTTTCGATGAAAAAGATTTTATGGTTAAATAAAGGTAAATAAATTCAACAAATACTGTAAATATAATGAACACTCTTCTCCGAATTTTTGTATTCGAGAATCCGAGTCCGTTTTTAAAATAGCATTTGTCATTGGAAAATAAAATCATACAAATATGTGCCACCACGGTTATTTTCTAGTTCTGACCACAACCAACTAAGCCAGGGGTGTCCTACCCTTTTAGTCAGAACCTTTTTAGAGCCACTTTAATTCAGCTGACTAGTCGAGGGGCCGACATCCTGGACTGAAAAACTGTCTTGACTGGCATCGGGCTGTTCTGAGATTTATTATGATTTATAACAGAGCTGACGTTAGCTGAATGACAAATGTTTACCATCTCATCAGCTACATTAGCAAGTGACACAATCAGAAACCACGTCAGTACAGTGCAAATACAGTCAACGACGTACTGGGCTTTAGAACAAGATCTATATTGGCTGAGCTGAAGTTGGATGGATGACAAAGTGAACTTGTGCTCATAATAATAATACATATTTTTTATATAGCAATTTTTTGGACACTCAAAGATGCTTTACATGACATTATTCATTCACTCCATACACGGTGGTGGTAAACTACTACTGTAGCCACAGCTGCCCTGGGGCACACTGACAGAAGCGAGGCAACCAGTATGTGCCATCGGCCCCTCCAACCACCACCAACCATTCACACACACCAGACTCATTCTAGGCAATGGTGGTGAAGTGTCTTGCCAAGGACACAACAACAGCAGACAGTGGGAGTCAGTGGAGAAAGTCTTGAGGTGGGCTCGAACCCACGACCTCCAGGCTCAAAGGCCAATGCTCTACCAACTGAGCTACTGTTTATGATCTCAAAGATCAAAAACTTTGGGCTAGCAAGGCAGATAAAGGCCACATAAAATCCGAGTTTCTCCGGGCCTGAGTTTGGACATGGCTGAACTAAGCAAAAGAAAGAAACCTATAGCAAAGCCATGTCCCCCTGGGCCGCAGAGCTTCGATCTGTGTTTGCTGAAGTACAACTCAGTAGCATTAGAGCAAAACTAATGGCCAATTTTGAAAAACAGTGGCAAATTGGACTTATGACAAAACCAAAACTAAGAACATATATTCAGTTAAAAGAACATTTCAAAACAGAGCAATACGTCACAGCAAATTTGCCCAGGATCCAGAGATCTCTGATGGCTCAGTTTTGTACCGGAATTCTTCCATTAGCGCTAGAAACAGGGAGGTTTTCACAAACCCCTGAGGAGAAGAGACTGTGTTTATTTTGTGAACTCGATGAAGTGGAAAGTGCATTTTTTGTTATATTGTCCTTTTTATGATGAATTTAGAAATGTGTTGTTTTATGAAACGTTCCTGATTTGTTTTGGGGCTGTGATTATGACAAGGTGAAATTTTTATTTGAAAATCAAGTGTTTAAAGTGTCTTCATTTTTAAGTAAAGCTTGGAATAAGCGGCAGTCTCATCTATATAATTGAGAGCATTTGTGTTCGATTTTGTTTATGATTTTGTTGTATGAGTCGGTGTATGTGCCGGATGTTGGCCTGTGTCTCTGTATTTGCATAAATGGTGTCTTATAAGCCCATGTGGGCTGGGCATCCTTGTATGCAAGACACTATAATAAATAAAAATCTATCTATCTATCTATAGTCCATACCAGCTCTAGAACTGTAGTAGACCATGTACACCATAGATGCCTGAATACAACATTTTCAGGACCGCAATCTACGTTTAATCGTCTCAAAGTTGCGTAGAGTCTATAAAATCCCTGTAAACTGTGAGAATGCTGACATGTGCAGAGCAATGAGACTCTGGGCTAATTTGTTGTAAAAAGTGCAAATCCGTTGTTACGTTAAGCTTTATAAACGGTCAGCGTCTTTCCTTCGTCAGCAGAGAAAAAACAACAGATCTGGCAACGTGCTTGGTTTGTAATTGTAAATTCAAACCGGCACAGCGACAAAAGCAATTTGCATCACTGAATCATTCGCGCCCTTTCCAGACCTTCCGTCCTTTTTGACACTTACTTAGACGTAATACACTGTCCCAGAGCTTGTTCGACACTTGTGTATAGATACAGTATAAGACCACTAACTCACACTAACTATCATGTTTATATGCAAAATGTCGTTTACTTATCAACTAGCTGGTGGTATAGAAAACACTTGAATTGATCTACGATGGCTTACAAACCAGCTGCATTTAAAAAGGTCCCCTACAATTTGCACATAGATGAGAAGCTAAATAGACAAACAATGGAAAATATTACTTTTTTTATTACTATTATCAAAGGTGTACTGCACGACAGACTGTTTGTTGCCATGGAGCTGTGTCACTGCTTGGAATGTCCCTCAGAGAATTGAGATATTAAACATGTACAAAAGGTTTTCGAGTTTCCAAAAACATGAAATTCTTACAGTGAGCTCAGTCACCTCTCCACAGACATGAGCTGTAACCTCCAGCCACACAAACAAGTGACATGACCAGGCTTCTAACATTCCAGAAATATATACCTTTGTTTACATAATTCAAGGCAAGTGCAGGAGCCTCCACAATAATAAGACAAACATAAAAGGATAACATTAAAAAAATAAGTATAATATTTCATATGGTTTTTTGTGGTACGTTTTATGTTTAATGCATATACTGAAGACCTTTAGAGGGCTGAGTTAGCACAAGTTTGATGGATTGCCACTATGACGTCTGAATATTGTGTCTGAATAATGTTTTCCAAATGCTTAGAAAAGAAATTTTGTTTTTCTCAATATTGCCCATCGCTAGTTTTGCATATTCCCCAAGTTCTCAAGAGACATCACATTACATTACTATTTATGACAAAAATCTACATCAACGTACAGAGATGTGCTTTAACACTGTCAACAAAGTATTTATTTGTTGTTCAAAATACAACCCAAACCGACCGTGCATAAGTCAAGTATTTTTGTTTGTCACAATTTTGCGACAAAAAGTCAATACCTGACCAGGAAATGCACCGCCATTTATCTCCCATGTGTGGCATTTGAACATCTATAGACTGATGCAGCACAGAGCAGGACACAGAAGGGCAGATCAATACAAATAAAACAGCATGAATGTGGAAAAAGATGAGATTAAACTGGACAATAGAAAAAAGAAGAAGAAGCGAGACATGGGGGTCTGCACCTGTTGTAGAGGAGGATGTCCGGGACCCACACCAGGTTGGACGGGAAGCGCAGGTTTTGGACGCCAGGATACAAGTCTGGGTTCCACGTCAAGTAAACATCGGTCCAGTGCTGCAGGAAATATAAACCATTAGTGTATGAATGATCATTTACTATATAGAGTTTAAAGAACTTAGTACTGCTTGACTACCTGACCTGTTTTTCAGAGGTAGATTTCTGCCTTCTGATGCTGTGATGTGTCTCTTGTTAAAGTATGTGGTCCATCTGAGAGATCTATGACCATGCCACCCGCTGCGTCGTGGTCCCTAGAGACGTCCCATGTGTGAGGTGAAAGCCCCCTCGTCTCTGTTGATGGTCCGTGCCGCTTCCTGATTTCAATCACCTCTCGGACTCATCTTTTGTATTTACGTGTGTTCTTCTGCTCCAACTTTTTTTGCATTATCCCGGGCCATTATCTGATTTTCTCTTTTGCGGTGGTCAGACAATCGCTGATGTGTGGTTTTCCTGTGTTGCTTTAGGTGTGCAAGGCTCATGGACCACCAACAGAGACAAGGGGGCTTTCACCTTGGCTCACACTTGGGACTCACTTCTCCAGAGAGACAGCAACGTGACGGGGGCATGGTCAGTCGATCTGTCAGACTGTCTGCATCTGGTAACAACAGCTGATAAGAGACACATCTCAATATCACATGTCTCCTCTGATGAAGCCAGAAGTCTACCGAAGAAGCTTCTACAGCTTCTTTGCACTCTTGATCTTATCACTCTTTATCTTAAAAAACCTTCTAAGCCTTAATGCACTTTTCACATTTATATTCAGGAATGCACATAACTACTTTCAGTGAGGTACTCAGATGTGTACCAGGAGATGGTGTTTGGTACTAACCCCATTTGTAGCGTGCGTCTTAGTCGAGATTTTGTACTTTTTGTTCTTTTTTAAAGTTTAGATCAGCTCAGATGATCCACTCTCACCCCAGAAAGACAAATAATGACTCACAAGGCTCTTTCTTAAGTATGTTAAAAAAAATACAAGATGGCCTGTTTCACAACATTTTACTTTTGGGCACAGCCAACATGCATTATTAATGCAGGGGAACTTTAGGTACCCCAGCTTTAATTTCGTGAGTCTTAATTGGACTGGTCTATGTGAAGTGCGTAAAGGTGCTTTCTAACTCAAGTGATATTACACATTTTCTATTTGTGTCGTGCATGTGTACCTGCGTAACAGTTACGTGCACCCCTGTTTATATTATATATCAAATATAGTATACATGTAAAGATTTTAATAAACAAATATTTAACCAGTTCTAAGGAGTGCAGGAAATGTGTGTGCATTTTACAGTATGAAGAAATGGGTAAGCAAAAAAAACAAAATCCTCTCTTTTCCCATTTTCAAATGTGTGTCAGGACTACTTACTGTCTACAATTTCAATGAATAAGAACAATTAAATACATATTATAGTTACTTTCCAAGATCTGTGTAATAATGCATAGTTATAAAACAGAAAAATGAGATTTCCCATCATTGTGTCTGACACCTGCTAGAAAAGGCTTCTATAAATATGTTCTGAAATGTGTGCAACATTTACTCAGCAGCCTGTGTCGTGTGTTATTGCTCCAAGGTTTTTAACAAAATCCTATTATTTTCTCATTATTTTTTTCATTATTCAGCCGTCCATTTTCTTCCACATTATCCAGAGCTGACTTGCGGAGGCAGCAGTCTTCTCTGCGCCTCTGCAGGGGGTGGGCCCACAGGAGGACTTTAGTTAGTTTGTATTGTATAAAAGTCAATATAAAGAATTTATATTGTAACCCATGTTTCTTGACATGTTTGTAATGCGACGACATCATGCCAAACTAAATATGTTCTCTCATGTGAAAAACTTTGTAATTTATCTGGCTAAATTGTCATTTCCTGGACAATTCCCATGGTTAAAAAAGACCTCACAGTAACCAATTTCAGTGGATTAATACATAAACTATTTTCTAAAATATATATACATTTGGTTACTTTGCTAATTCACAGTATTTGCCCAACAAGTGTATAGGGCAAGTGAGGTATCTTCTATACAACTGAGTGGCCAGCTGGATGGATTTCCCACAGGCAAAAGAAAATATTGAATTGAATACAAAATGGAAATATGCCAAATGAGAAAGTTGGATAAATCTGTGCCTTTCATTTTGTGCCATCTTCACAAACTATGACAGCTGTACATTTGTAAAACTAGGTTGTGCTGCATTTGAGTTCATTTACTTTCAGGTGTGGACTGCATATAGTTTTCTCCCTGTGGAAATAAACATGTCCCAGTGCACTGACCACATCTGTTCCCTGGCTGCATGTACACACTCACTATTTATTTATTTATTTATTTATTTATGTATTTACTTATTTATGCATGTGTGTTCAAATGTACAACTTCACAAACTTCCCCTTCTCAAGTGTCCCCAGTCAAGCACCTAATGGCTTAATCACTGCACTTGTTGTCATCAGTCAGCCTTGGCACTTCAGCGGCACTTTTCTTTTCATGTTTGTTGGCCGTAAAACTCTCTCTCACGGCCAAACGAGCAAATTACAGCTCGCTAACTTCAGAGGGGAACAGATGAGGAGGACACTGGGCTACGCGAGGTAACAGCTGCCTAAGAATAGGGCCGCAGTTACATAAGACACATTTAAGAAAGCGTCACTAATTTCAGACAAGAAGGTTCTCGTCGGAAAGAGTGTGAAATTTCACACTAGAGCAAAGGCACGTGTAATGAACGTGACAGCCCGCATTTTACAGACGTGATATTATAATGGACCCCTGATGATCAGTGTGCAGGGTAAATGTACTATCTGTAATGGGTTGTTGAAAACGCAAGCACAGCCAGGATGTATTTGCAGATAAAGAAACACATGAATTTTAATTTCTTTCTTGCTAAATATTGACTACAACTGCAATTGGATTGAACTTCTGCTGCTCGCACAACCACCAACTGTTGTTACATCTATTGCATTGAATTATGTTAACAAACTGTAACACAATTCAACTTTTTCATAGATGTTCACACAATATACAACAGTTCAAAACTCTGATGTTGACTTGTATTGGCAAAGCAGAAAGAGTCGCTGGCAGCCATTATGTTGGGAGCAGCATAGTTTCAGACAATAATGACACTGTCAATGCTCACATTTCACTTTTCGCAAACAGATTCCACCACATGGGCCTCAAAAGGAGAAGGCAGATACATTAAAATGCTTATGTGGGCCTCCCCCATTATTGTTATCCTAGTTTAGTTTAGTTTATTGTTTATAGAACAGGGACAATGTACAAAAACCATTAGTCTTTACACAAGAAGAGATGGTTTGCACCAGATTTAACTGCAGCTGCTTTCCATCTGTGTCCCTGGTGAACACACCTCACAAATATAAAAGCAAACTTACCTTACACAAAAATACAATCATATATACAATAAATGTTGTCCTAAAATGACATAGGGTAAAATAAATTAAAATTCTAATGCTATTATTATATTTAATGGCACGACATGAAAAGGCAGATTGTGTAAAAGCTCACGATCTTCTTGGGATCACACAGTTTTTGTTTACAGTGGACCGAGTCCGTCGAGATATTTGTTCAGAGCAAAGTTTGACAAAGATTTTCACAGGAGGTGGAGCTAAATTATTTGGGATTTTAAATATGCTTCTTAGATTATTGATTGTAATTAAATTGTCAAAACTCAGCAATTTATTCTTACTCAAACTATTACAGTGATGATAGCAAAGCGTTTTTTTGTCCAGTGCCTTTAAAGCCGATTATACACTGACCTGAGGGGTTTGAGCGCAGTCTCATTGGCCTGAGACCAGCTGGATAAACAGTATGTGATGTGAGGAACAATCATGGCATTGAAATAGGTGAAAACCGCATCAACCGTCAGACTGTTCCTCATGTGTCTTAAAGATGAAACATTATATTTTAGTCATTTACTTACATTTTTGATATGCTTTTTTTATTGACAAGGTATTATCCAAGTAGAAGTATTTTGTCTCTGTAACAATTTTTAGAGACACTCCATTGACTTAGATGTTAGGCATCTTTTTGGTATTGTTTGTTTTGTAAAAAAAACATGCCAAATGTTTTATTTGTGTTTAAAGTTTGGCAAGAGGATTTGAGCCAATTCTCGATTTAGTCCATCGCAAGACAACTTTGAGGCCACTTGCTGCATATCCCCCCCATGTGTGTAGATTGCAGCGTCATCTGCATACATAATGACCTCCAGATCTTGGCACAGGAAGTTCCATCCATCCATCCATTTTCTACCCTTTAATCCATTTCTGGGTCAGGGGGGTGGCAATCAGAGATGCCACCCAAGTCTCATAGCACCAGGAAGTTGATTAATATAAATGCTGAACAACAAGGGCCCCAGGATGGACCCTTGTGGGACTCCTGTTGTACAGGGTTTAAATGAGGACATTGCATTATTTGTTCTCACGCACTGCCTCCGATCTGTAAGGTTTGATTTGAACCACTGCAGTCCTTCTGTGGACATATTACACTGAGCAAGTCTGGAGAGGAGGACAGAGTGGTTTACCGTGTCCAAGGGCTTGCGTAGGTCTAAGAACACAGCCCCCACTGTACCCCCCTTACCCAGACTCGCCCTAATGCTCTCTGTCAAGTAACAACAGGCAGTATCAGTGGAATGATGACTATAAAAACTGAATTGGATTGAATGTAAAAAAAAAAATATATAGTTTAGATGTTCCGTTAACTGCTCTATGATTGCCATTTCCAGGATTTTAGATGCTACAGGTAGTATACTAATGGGCCTGTAGTTACGTGTTTCATTTTTGCTGCCGGATTTGTGAATGGGTGCTATAACTATTAGAGAATTAGAATAAATAAATAATATTAAAGCAATTATCAACATTATTATTATTATTATTATTACCATTATAATATTGTTTATATCATCAAAACAATTTGTATGAATCCTCATTTACCTACATGTCTTTTCTGCAAAAATATAGATATGTATTTTCTATTGTTTTTCCATGCTGAAAGCTAATTGTTGCTGTTTTAGTTGTTCTGGTTATAGTAAGCTATAGTAGGGTTAGGCTTCTATAAGTGTTTCACTTCAGCCTAAACCCTTTCAGTCAACTTTACTTTTTACTTTATTTTTTTCAAATGATCTGTATTGTCTGAGTTGTGAAAAAGTGACTGAACAAATAAACTACTACTACTAACTGCAGCTTTAAAGACACTGGGGAACACACTTTCATTGATGGATTCCTTCCTTTGTCCGACAAGAAATTGCAGTGATGTAGCCTCCAAAGCTGTCTATATTTGTATTTGTATTATTTTATTGTCCTATTTTTTAACGGGAAAGTGTGTGTTACCAGATGTTGCTATTTTCTATCTGCAGTCCGACAGTCGCACAGCACTCACGAACTCATTCAGCCCTCACCAATTGTTGTTGTCAGGAAAACACACTCCCACAATTATGAAACTACTAGAAGTCCCAGTGCTGTCATTTTAACTGCTACCAATGGAAGTCCAACCTGAGTAAAACCAACACAGACACGAGGAGAACATGTAAACTCCACCGAAAATGTCTGTCTGGATGTGGAATTGGTTTGTTGAGTTATTGTAATTAATCTGAAACAATGCCCTGACCCTGGAATGGATCAAACAGAAGAAAATGTATTGATCCAATAGCATCTTAGACCATTGTGACTGAAAGAAATAACACCATGCTGACCACTCACACAGACACTACAAGGACAAATGTAGAGAAATACAAACTTTTCATGTAAAAAGTTGCATAACGCCCCTTTGACAAAAATAATTACACCTATTTGGAATTGCATTGTATCTATAATCCGTCATACTGCCTCCATACCAGTATTTAGATCGGGGTCCTCAAACTCAATTTACCTGGGGGACACTATTAACTCCTCGTAATTTTACTGAGACCAGGAGCTGGAGGTTCTTTGATGTCAGCGCTGTATCTGTCAACAGCCCCAGGGGGATTGGAATCAGCAAATAAACAGTGGGTAAATGTCCCAAATGTTAATGCTCTCGTTTGCATTTAGGACACTTTGGAGGTCAGAGCGTGATGCTTGGTCGATATCGTGGAAAATGGTGTCATTTTCAAAAGGTGCACTGCATACCTGAGAGTCCACAGGTTTTATTTGTGGATATTTTGTTTACAATCAGAATCAAAATGAACCCTAATGTATTTAACCCGTGTCTGTTTTTTCTTACCCTGTGCCCATCTCCTCTTGTCGTGAGTTCATTGTCCTTCCCCATGTCTTGTTTCTGTTATTATACTGGATATTTTTTTTTTCTTTCATTCATTAAATTACTCTTTTATTTGCAATACTGTATGTTGTTTGAACCAAAACTGATATGTTTCTTGATAAAATTATCTTAAATGATAAAGAACACACTACAAAGAAATTTACTAATGGGAGACTTCTTGTTACACACATGGCAATAAAGATATTTCTGTTTCTGATTCTGATAATATGGCATATCTTTCATGGCAAGGAGGGGACCACGACATATATTTTTTCTGTCCGCGGGCCTTTCGTTTGAAACCCCTGGTTTAGATCATGCATCAGAATTAGTTCCTTAAAAAACATAAGAACATTACATGTTTGGCATCAAATCCTATATTTTCAGATGTAGGGCATTCACATTTAATCCTTAAATCCGACAGCTTGCTCTGGCAACCCCTGGCCCTTTCCTCTGAGTCCTCATCCATCCATCCTTCTTTTGAGTTAGTTGAAGTGTGTTCGCCTTGAAAACTGCTGTATCGGCACCGTTCTCCAGCCATTACACTGATAGTATAAGGCGACTTGTTGAATAATGGATATATTTAAACCTGTAAGTCAGCAGTCAATCTGATAAGTGGGGGCTGTGAAATAATATGGCTTTTCCCAACAGAAAATCCCAGCGTTATCCATACCATACTTCTCTTTTATACCATTTAAAAATTCGCCTTAAAAAAAAGACATATAAACACACAAACACACAGGGCCAGGGCAGAAACCAGCACAATATAACATGCAAATCTGCACAACTCACATGAAATACACCTCAAATAACGATGTTGATCTAAAGTCCTGTTCCACACTGCAACGGGACTCCCCTTAGTATTGGGCAGGTTTCATCCTATAGTTTTTAATCCTTTCATCTTTTGCTATCTTTTCAAGGCACTCACACAACACCATAGGCGTAACATGCATTTGAAGCCCTTTCTATATAATGCATGAATCATTTAGACCATTATATGACAGACTATTTCAGAAACTGTGATAGCAATATGGCGCTGGGTAAAGGCTGGCTGCCGTCGTACCTGTCCCAGCAGTGTTTTGTGTTATAGCATTTATCTTACTGGCACGCCCTGCTCAGTGTCTTATCACATGCGATTGTGAGACACTCTTGAATATAGGAGAGCTGCATCGCTATTGAAGCAATCCACACCTGACCCAGTGACATACAGTACTACAAGGAGCACACAACAGCAGCGGTACACGGCACAACATTTTTTTCTACTATTGTGTGTTCTGAATACTGTACTGAACGCCTTCTGGAGGTACAGTAGAATTTCACTACATGTAATGTGTACAGTATGTGACAAACAAAATAAACTAAACGAAACATCTGGAAGAAGCTTTGATCCATGTGATACACCAATAACAATTTGAAACTGTCTGAAATTTAGATATATTTCTTGGCTATTTGATGCAATATCCAAATCTAAACTTTATTAGACACTTTCTGAAGCTGAGATAAGCAGATCCCTTTCAACAAGGACACGGAACGCAGCGAGGCATGGCATTAGACACAGCTCCAATCGTGGTCATTCACAGTTCACTAAGCCCTGCGGCTTTACAACAACAACTGTGTCTAATCAGCGACAAGTCAACACAATAACACAACACACTCTTCATCTGCACAAAGCAAGTATTCTGCCGGTGTGTACGCAGACTATAAAACACAAGGACAATTAACTCACACAAAGAACAAGACGTAGTAACAGTAGGCATATATTTGAATATAGTCTGCACTGGGGCTGGATAACATCTATTAAAAGAAAATGTTGTTATTGTGATGTTGGAAAGTGCAATGTTGATATTGCAAAGGTGTGCAATATTGTTTTGTGTATATAATGTGTTTTTCCTGCTCTGTGATATGCCACAGATTCCCAGGGTCTGAGAAACAAAATGCATGAAAAAGATGCATGAAGATGGCAGCAGCATCTACTTGTTCCTAAAACACTGCAGTTCCAACATGCATCTATTGTTGGGCCTATAGCCTCCCGTCCAACCGGTGGGTCCTGCGGCTGCAGCTTATTTTTTTATTGTTCTTAAGTTAAAGTTCTGTTAATTTACACTTCTATTTTGTAAAGTAAATGATGTTATTTTTTGAATGACTGTTTCCTGCCTGGTACATCGTGTTATGTTTGGACACTTTTCCCCCCTTGGTTGTGGGTCTTTTATCAGTCCAGGTATTTTTGGGTTAGAATTGGGCAAAAGTGTAACACGAATAAACCGTTTGAGTGATATGCAGACTGAATAACGTGAGTATTATTGTATTGTGGATGCACCATTCAATACTCCATAGTTATTGCATCTGGTTCACTTGGGTAAAATTCAACCAAACATATTTACCAGCTGGAGCCAGGCGTTTGTGATCATCACTTGGTTCTTTTCATCCTACAAGGACAGAAAGAGGGAGAGGATTAATCAACAGGCAGCGATTTTAGACAGATAGTGAGTGAAAATATTTTGTGGTAAAACAAACAGAGCATGTCTCGCAAACACGCAAGCAGATTATGAGAGAGACCTCGAGCTGCTGCAGAGGTGACGCAGAGCACGGCCTGAATAATAAAAGCACGTCCCCTGTTTAAGTGATCTATGTGTGACGTACGTATCCACGGTAACAGGTCCAGCTGCGGCGCATATAGGCCTGGCACGAAAACACGTTTGGATACACAGTGTATGGCTTTCAAAAAATTGTATAATGAAGTCCCATTAAAGTTGTTCTTTGATTTCAACATAATTAAAAGACATGGTTGACAAAACTAAACAGTATATCAAGACTTTTAAATTGCCCTCTTGAAAATATCAATCCTTCTGACCGTAGTGTCAAGTGTTCTGTGTCTATTGTGCACACTGGGTATGTTTACACACATTCTCCAGTGTGTTTTTTTTACTGTAAATCGAAAATATCTGAATCTAGAATTTAGGTCATATTTAGCCATTAAAGTGAACTATTCAACCCTCTACACCTAAAACTTGATCTTATTACAAAGAATCTAGATAAAAATATGTTTGATTGATAAGTTCATGTGGTAATTGTGTGACAAGCCAAGCAGCACGTACCACAAACTATTTGTGAAGTAACAGACACAGGACTAAAAACAATATACAGTCGGGCAATACAATTTTGACTGAACATTTCATGATTATCATTCTGACAAACAATGTGATTGTTATCATAAATGTATTTGATGTTTAAAAGAGGCCGTAAGTGACATTTTACTGATAAGGTCCACTATCAGCTTGTTGACATGGAGATGTTATTTCATTTCTATGCTATAAAATGGGGCGGCAGTAGCTCAGGTGGTAGAGCATTGGCCTTTGGGCCTGAAGATCGTGGGTTCGAGCCCACTATAAGACCTACTTCACAACTCCCACTGATGACTGCTGTCGTTGTGTCCTTGAGCAAGACACTTAACCCCACGTTGCCTGAAACCCCCACTGAAAAAAAAGATCAAGGCTCCAGTGGACTCACCACCTGCAGGCGGATCAGTGAGGGTCTGGTGCTCTGTGAACTGGGTTGAAGCTCTGCCATCCCCCCGACCCAGAAATGGATTAAGGGGAAGAAGATGGATGGATGCTATAAAATGTGCCCACTATATTCTTCTTCTATGGCTGTTCCGCGCGGATCGCCATTGTGCGCTCTCAGGGAAGAGCAGAGGCGGAGGGCTGTGTTTTTACGTCAATACAAACTGGTGTAACGATGTGACAGTGATCTCCAAGCACTGCTCTCCTGCTCTGGAATATCTTTTCATTCATTGTAAACCATATTACTCCCCGCGGGAAATTGTTTCATTCATTCTTGCCTCTGTTTACACACCGCCATGCGCGGACGCGCGCGAGGCTCAGCGCGCACTCGCAGAGCAAGTACTGTGTATGGAACGCTTATACCCGGACTCTCTGATTATTATCCTGGGGGATTTTAATAAGGGAAACTTGAGCCAGGAATTACCCAAATACAGACAGTTTATCAAATGCCCGACCAGAGAGGAGAACACTCTGGATCACTGTTACACCACCGTGCGCGGAGCTTTTCGCGCTGTTCCCAAGCCAGCCCTCGGCTTCTCAGATCACTCCATGATACATCTGGTTCCTGCTTACAGACAGAGACTAAAGCTCTCGAAACCTGCAGTGAGGAGCTCCAAAGTGTGGTCTGATGAAGCTGTGGAAGAGCTGCGCGCATGCATGGAATCTACAGACTGGGACCTTTTCAGAGCTGCCACAGATAGTTTGGATGAATACACGGACACTGTGACGTCATACATCCACTTCTGTGAGGATAGCATCATTCCAACAAGGACCAGGGTCATCTATAACAACGACAAACACTGGTTCACTGCTAAACTCCGGCAGCTCAGGAAAGCAAAGGAGTCTGCTTTCAGGGAGGGGGACCGCAGCGGCTACAAAGCAGCTAAATATCAGTTCAGGAAAGAACTGAAAGCAGCCAAGTCCCGGCACAGAGAACGACTACAGGAGCAGTTTGGTAACAACGATACTGCTTCTGTCTGGAGGGGCCTACGGGAGATCACCAACTACAAACCCAAAGCCCCCCCCTGTGCTGATGACCACAAGCTAGCTGACGATCTGAACTTATTTTTCAGTCGCTTTGATGCTGCCCCTGACACCTCTCCCTCCCCCACCCCCCACTACTCTAACGACCCACCCATCAGCCCTGCCCCCAGCCTAACAATTAACCTGGCAAAAGCCAGATTGATGATTGTGTAGAACTCTAACGCGTTCTCCGCGATATCAATCTGGGATTTCTCCCGGAGAATCCTTTCGGGGAAAGGAGGGGTAAGCAGCAGAATACTTGAAGCTGATTGGGCGAAGTGACGCTGTGTGCCCGCCTACCAAGGTTGCCGTCCAGAAATGTACAAAGCGCCTTTCGCTGTTCATCTTTCAAAAAAGAAATTGGAGATTCTGCTAAAACTGACTTTGCGTCCGTCCTCCTGCGTAGCCATGTTTGTTTTGCTTCGGCCCGGCACTTCTTGCTTTCGTCAAACCCGGATATCCCGCCCTAAACCCCCAGACTGGCGCGTGATTGGCTCGCACACCCAGTGGTTCGACTCGAAAAGTGTAAGCGGGAGCGGTACAAGATGTATTCTCGAGTGTTTGTGAACTCACAAATACCGCGAGAATTCAGCTTGCAGGCAAGGTTACCTAACAATAGCCGCTAAAGAGATTAAACAACTCTTCCTGAGGCTGCACCCCCGCAAAGCTCCTGGCCCGGACCACGTGTCTCCGGCCACTCTGAGACACTGCGCCAGTGAGCTTACTCCTGTGTTCACGGACATTTTCAACTCCTCTCTGCAGTCCTGCCATGTCCCGGCCTGCTTCAAATCCTCCATCATTGTCCCCGTCCCGAAGAAGCCCAGGATCACAGGACTCAATGACTACAGACCTGTAGCACTTACGTCTGTCGTCATGAAGTCATTTGAACGCCTGGTTCTCTCCCATCTCAAGTCCCTCACCTCCCCCCTCCTGGACCCCCTGCAGTTCGCCTACAGAGCCAACAGATCTGTAGACGACGCCATTAACCTGGCCCTCCACCACATCCTACAGCACCTGGACTCCCCGGGGACCTACGCCAGGGTCCTGTTCGTGGACTTCAGCTCTGCCTTCAACACAATCCTGCCATCCCTGCTCCAGGACAAGCTCTCCCAGCTCAACGTGCCCGATTCCACCTGCAGGTGGATCACTGACTTCCTGACGGACAGGAAGCAGCGAGTGCGTCTGGGGAAGAATGTCTCGGACTCTCGGATTATAAATACAGGAGCCCCACAGGGCTGTGTTCTTTCTCCCCTGCTCTTCTCCCTGTACACCAACCACTGCACCTCCAGCCACGACTCCGTGAAGCTGATCAAGTTCGCGGACGACACCACCCTCATTGGACTCATCTCCAACAACGATGAGTCCGCCTACAGGAGGGAGGTGGACCGGCTGGTGTCCTGGTGCAGTGGTAACAACCTGGAGCTGAACGCCCAGAAGACAGTGGAGATGATTGTGGACTTCAGGAAGAGCACTGTCCCCCCGCCCCCACCCTCCGTGATGGACTCCCCCATCACCTCTGTGGAGTCCTGCCGTTTCCTGGGCACCACCATCACCCAGGACCTCAAGTGGGAGCCAACCATCAGCTCCCTCATCAAGAAGGCCCAGCAGAGGATGTACTTCCTGCGGCAGCTCAGGAAAGCCAAGCTGCCTGCACAGATGTTGGTGCAGTTCTACACGGCCATCATCGAGTCCATCCTCACCTCCTCCATCACCGTGTGGTTCGCTGGAGCCACAGTCAGGGACAAACAGAGACTACAGCGCATTGTGCGCTCTGCAGAGGAAGTGATCGGCCGCAGCCTTCCATCGCTGCAGGACCTGTACGTCGCCCGAGCTCGAGGCCGGGCTGGTCGTATCACAGCCGACCCCTCTCACCCTGCACATGGACTATTCCAACCACTCCCCTCAGGCAGGAGGCTGCGGTCCATCAGGACTAGAACCTCCCGCCACAAGAACAGTTTCTTCCCCTCTGCTGTTGGACTCTTGAACACTTCTTAACCTGTCCCCCCTGCCCTTTATAAAGTCACTTTACTGCCCATCATACGTCACTTTACTTCACTGTACTGCTGTCACCTTACATTGTGTGCACCATGTGCACTTGTATATTGTAAATAGTAACTGTAACTCTATTTTAAATTTAAATTTATTCTTTAGAAGTGTTTTTTATTCTTATTTTTATTATCTCTTTTTGACTGTTGCACTGAGCCAAAGCAATTTCCAAGTCTGTGACCTCCTGTTACTTACGTTGGCAATAAAAATGATTCTGATTCTGATCTGATTCTGATTCTTTTAAACGCTTAAACACCTGAATACTTTCATTGGGTCAGCTCTCCTCTGCACATATCACTAACATTTGCTTTGATTGAGAAAACGTTCCCCTGCAGCTGCTTCGACATCAACTTTATCAGAGATGCCATCCTGTACAATCCACAAATTAAACACATCGTCCAGTTTTTCTGTGAGATCCTGGACTTAACGCTCTGTTCTTGGTCCATAACCAAGGGCAGAGATCCTGGTCTGATCCCTGCAGATGAAACCAGCGAGCCAGCATGTGTCCAGCCTCCACGTGTCCACACATCACATAGTGCAATGTCAGTGGGAAAGCAATAAATGCACAATGTATATGAATGTCTCAGAGCAGCAAGGCCAGCTCCAGACTGGGAGAGTTACAGACCCGCACCGAACACAAGAGTCCAAAGCCTTGTGTGGTGCCCGCCGGCGTCTCTGACTGACTGATGTTATTTTCTGCTGCACGATGGAAGAAGAGTGAATGTGCTCTGAACTAACATGCTATAATGGTGATTAATTAACCTCAATTCGATTTGGTCTTTATTGTATAACATGAA